TTGCGAAGGTAGGTTTTTACGCTTGGTTCTCAGTTCTTTACAAGCACCCACAAAATTGGAGCCACAATCAGAGCGTATTTGTCTTACAGGGCCCCTAAGGGCAAAGAAGCGTTTAAAGTGCGTTAATAAAGCTAGATGTGTCCATGGATTCAATCAGCTCAATATGGACAGCACGGACACACAGGCATGTGAAGATGACTGCCCATTGTTTGTTACTTGCATGGCCTCCCCGAGTGCACTGCGAGACGACTGTCCAGGGTCCAAACACGTCTAGCCCAATGTAGGTAAAAGGAGGATCTGTTTTGAGGTGGTCTTCAGGGAGATCAGCCATTTTTCGTTCTATGGCTTTGCCTCTGAGCCTCTGACACTGAACACACTGGTGGATGAGTCTATTAATGCACCTTTTTGCGCCAACGATCCAGAATCCTGCACTTCTTATGGCTCCTTCTGTAAAAAGACGGCCTTGGTGCTTGGTCTGCTCATGAAAGTGGTTCACAAGTAGAGAAGCGATGTGGCTTTTGCCAGGGATGATGATTGGATGTTTCTCTTCAAAGTGTACCTCAGCATTATTCAGTCTTCCTCCAATCCTCAGAAGACCATCGTCAATGATTGGATTTAATTTCCTCAAAGTATTGCTCTTGGAAATTTCTTTTCTTGCCTTCAAAAGTGCTAACTTGCCTAAATAGACTTCTTGCTGTACAGATCCAAGGATAGCAATTTTTGCTTGAGACAGTTCTTCTACACTGCGAGGCCTTGAACAATAATGCCACCCACTGCAGGTGCTCTTCTCTGCATTGGATTTTCAAGAGTGAATGACATGGATAAGACAGGCGATGGCACGCAAGAGGGACTTCCAGCTGGAAAAGCGTTGGAAGCGGCATGGACTGCTACACTGGTGCAGTTTGACCAGATTTCAATGTCAGAGTCTGGGTTGATGAGCTCATAACATTTCTCTTCAGTGGAGAACCCATCTGGATCACAGAGAAAGGTAGGTCCAGATAGCCATATAGAGTTATGAAAGTCTGAAGCAGTTACAGAACGTGTAGCAACATCTGCGGGATTCAAACTTGAAGGTATGTAATGCCACTGTTCTGGCCTGGTAGACCTGCGGATTCTTTGCACTCTATTACTGACATAGATACAGAAGGGTCTTGTTTGGTTGCAGATGTATCCTAGTACCACCTTACTTGGCACTGTGGAAGGAGATGTTTGCTGCACCTTAACAATGAGCTTCTCTTTGACATGAATGAGGTTAGGGCATGGAGAGCGTACACTTGGACGTTCACTGGACAGGATCTTGGTACGAAACGTGTTCACAACAGCTGGTCTGTGTGCAGAACCCAGGCAGACATACCCAACTATAACCCAGCCCAGGTCAAGTCGCTGGGCATAAGAGAAGTTACTGGGACCATCAAGCTGCTCCCTAACCTTGTGTAACTGAAAAATGTCTCTTCCAAGAAGTAGAAGTATCTGGGCATGAGGGTCTATGCTAGGAATCTCACATGCTATGGGTTTCAGGTGTTCAAAGTGCCATGCAGCTTCAGCAGTTGGAATTTCAGAACGATCATCAGGCATGTGATCACATTCAATAAGTATAGGTAGTGATACACTTACTACGCCATCTAGGGACTCAGTCTGGAATCCAACTGCCTTTCTCCGTGAAGTTTCAGAAATACCAGCACAGGTACGTAGTGTGTAAGGAGTGTTGGTGCCTTCAATGTTAAACACATCAAAAAACACAGACTTGGCCAAAGATCTGTTACTTTGTTCGCCTAGGATGGCGTACATCTTTACCGTGTTCTTTGGGCAGTTCTGAGGGTATACATTAACCAGGCAGATTTTAGAGCATGATTTGGGGCTTGGACCGGTACCACTGACTTCTGTCATTTTGACGTGATATCCACAGACTGGACTCTTCCCCACCATGCTTTGGCAAGGCTTCTTGGTTCCACGGAGCTGGTTCTGGGTGAAGAGATGAAATGTGTTTCTCACTGTTGCATTTGCTGCACTTGATAGGATCTTTACAGTCCTTTGCAATGTGAGTTGTGGAGGAACAGATCCTGTAGCAGACTCCTTGTTCCTTGAGATAGCTCTTTCTCTCCTCTAGTGGTTTTGCTCGGAAACCTCTACAACGTCTCAAAGCCTTTTTATGCGATGGGCACTGTTTCTCAACATTGGTCAGCTTTTTAGCAGATGTGCTTGTTGCAGACACATCATCCATTTGTGCTATCTCTGTTTTATGAGTGGCGATGGAAAACTTTGCAGGGCCTTGTCTTTTGTCAGTCATGTCTGACCTTGTGTGAAATGCACCAGAAGAAAGGTTAAAACTTGGATTATTTCTTGAATCAGCTTCTCAACAGACAAATTTTGTGAAGACGGAAAATGGGGGGAATGTGACTCTATGTAGTTTTTGTATTGAGACCCATAAGCAGTCCATTTTTCCTGCAGATTGTGAGGTAACTTTTTACCAATTTGATTAACACCTCTTGATATGTCCAAGTATAAAGTCCCATCAAGTAGCCTTCCGATTTTGCAGACTCCAGCTCAAGCAATAAATCTCCAAGCTCTCTAAGCTTTAGGGGATCTTTGTTGTTGAGTTCAGGGAAGCTTTCTATTTTGTCAAGAAGGGCCTTTTCAACAACTTCAGGAGATCCACAGGTCTCTTCTAATCTCTCCCAAGCCTTCTTGAGACCAATATCAAGATACCTGATGTGCACAGCTCGGATTCTCTTCACGTACTCAGCTGACTGACGCCCAAGCCACTACATCAAAAGATCCAATTACTCACTTGAAGAGAGGTTCAGTCCTGCCTTGGCCCAATAATTTTCTGGGCGATCGTCAAACCTGAGGAGCCCAGAACTTAACAGCTCGCAACGGACAAGGAATTTGGCAGTGTCACTTACTGAGGTGTCTTCACGTGAGGGAGGATGTGTTTGAGAAGCTGTATAACCTTGTGCAGAAGGATGATGATCTGTGGGATCATGTGTTGAAGTTTGCTGATATTCTTCCTTTTTCACATCTTTGGGCTTTGATGTAACATAGTGATCTGACCTTTCACCATAAAAGGAGAGACTGGGCAAACATGGTTCAGAGCCTTCCTGGACTTGATAAGCCTCACCTTCCTGTTTGATGCAACTTTGGTGAGGAAGGGGTGACGGTGGTAGAAGCTGGTGCACTTGGGTTTGAAAATGCTGTTCTATGTAATTGCTGGTGTGCTCTTTTGAATCTACTGCAGGTAAATTGATTGAAATGTTCTGACTTCCATCAAAGGTGAGCTCCAGCCAGAGCAGCAGTGGCTTCTTTTTCTTGTTCTAAAGCCATCAAGGTACTCTCCATACAAATCTTTTCTAGTCTAACAGCAGTTTCTTTGTCGATGAAACTGGCTCGTGCACGGGCTGCCTCTGCTCTTGCTCGAACTTGAGCAGCAGCCATACTAGCCGCTGATCTTTTTGATGCCAAAGATGAACTAGAGGTGACTGACCTTGTCTCATGAGTTTGCTGTGCCTCTGTTTTGTCTGCTCCCTCCATAACTATCAACTTCTACAAGCATACAAGGTTGATGTAAGGGAGAATAACTGGCATATATGAAGGCTTCACCACTGTTCCAGTGTTAGGTGCCTGCTGTGCAGTGTTTTTTCACTATTCTGTCCTTATTGCATGTAACTTAACACAACTTGACAGATAGCTAAACAGCTGGGATTGAATAAAGAGCTGGACCAAAGGCGTTTCAGTGTCTTCAGTGTTTACTTTATCCAGATTCCCAAATCTTTTTTGTGAAACTGCAAACAAACATTACATATCTTCAGTTTTGGAAGACATCAGTATGCTTACAAAACCACTGAGATATTTGTAAAGCAACATGCTTTGTATCCACACAGTATGTGATATAGAAAGGCATCTAACATTACTAACAGCTCAAGAAAGAGTAATATTCTACTGATCGGTATCTTAAAACATAATGCAGAAAGTTTTACTCACAAACAGTTATGTCTAAGGCACAAAACATGAGGATGGACAGAGATGAAATTACACCTGCTTCACCACACACACAGCTCAAATCCAAGATGGCTGCACTGACCTCTAACCCTCATCATGTGACCTAACTAGCAAATCAGAATTAAGGAACACGTTTGCCTAACCTTAGCAGCGCCATCTAGTGGCCATAAAACAGAATAGTCAATGTATAAAAGAACAGTCACAACATGAACAGTGCCCACAAGTGCACCTGTATAGAAAGAAATGGTGCCCTAATGGCCCAATAGAAGTATGTTTTTCATAGCTTGATGTCAAAATGAATGAAGCTTAGACAGTGTTCAAAGAAATCCACTTTATTCATTCCAAATTCAGTACATCTAGGAAATCAGAATGTAGGTTTTATGAAATATGGATCTTGCTGAACAGATAATTGTGCTGTCACAGTTTAGGGAATGTTCTACCATCCGGACACTTCTTCTGCTCGCTGTTAATAAGTTTCTGGCACTATGTTAACTTTTCAGCGGCTTGAGTCAGTGGTTCATACTGGTAAGGCTCAAGACACACTGCCTGATCAGAAACATTTTCCCCCGTCGAAGAAGGGGATGGTAGTGGAAAAACATTGTCAACCTCGTAAGACCTCTCAGTTGCGAAAGTGCCGTTTGTTTCTGCCACTCTCCATATTTTCTGGTAGCTAATGTTAGCCATTAAAACACAGCAGCCCAGCCCACTCAGTTTCCCTCCCAGCTCATCTCTGAACCCAACCATCACTGCAGTACCCCTCCCATTTTTGAGCATTTTTTAAAGTTAGTCCAGGGGTGGAGTTGAGCTGAAAATAGTGGTCTTTAAAGGATCTGCTGCTAATGTCTTGTTCATAGATGCCACAGAGAACCTTCAGAGGTCTTTGATTTCTTTGGTGTTTTTATAATTTCCTGAAAGAGTACAAACTTTTTTGTGTTTTCTTTTTGTTTTTGTTATTTAAAATCTATTTGTGTGTGTGTGTGTGTGTGTGTGTGTGTGTTTTTTAGGTTTGAATTCTGTGATTGAGTGTCACACTGATGGGCTACCACCATTCTACATATGTGTGTCATGCAAAGAGAGAGTTACCGAGAACTCTATAATTAGACATCTGACAAGTCGTGACCATCAAATAATATATCTGGTAAATGTATACCCACCAACAGCATTGTACACATAGATTTCCCATTACTAACCTTATACAGATTGCTCATTTACTTCCATTTTATTCTTATCTGTGTGTTGGCTTTAGAGGTCAATAAAATATGCTCCTCTGCTGGCCAAAAGAAGAGTGAAGACAAAATGGCTGAGAAACCATGCCATTATGTTGGAGAAAACTGAAGGATATGGAGAGGCAAAGGTCTGGTTTAATGTTACATTTTACTTTTTTGCGGTTTGTCTTCTGTGACAATTCACCTAGGGCCTGGCGGGTCACAATTTCTGTGGAAGCATTTAAGCAAAAACTATGTTTAATTTATTTTGTGTGCTCCAAATATTTTTGGAAGTTTGTCCATATCACATTATAAATTTCTCTTACCACACTGATTGCTAATATCTGACTGAGCTGAACTTTCCAAATGCCAGGCCTTAGGAGTTGCTATAAAATATTTAGTAAAATCAATTTATTATTTTTTTTGGTTGCACGTGGAACTGTAGAGTAAGTCAGAGCTGTCCAGTCTTATCCACAAAGGGCAGGTGTGGCAGCAGTTTTTCATTCCAAACCACAAGTGCATACCTGATTCCGGTTGTTTAATCAGTCTTCAAACAATTGATCGTGTGTACTCCACATTTCTTGGAATGAAAACCTGCAACCACACTAGCCCTTTGAGCGGTTTTCCCACTTATTTATATTTGCCATCCCCCTTTCAGGTACTAGAGTTGGACGCTCAAGATTACCATCAGATCTTCAATGCTCCCATTGTAACAGGTGAGTTGAAATACAGTTTATATTACATTTATACTTAGATTTGTTTGTGTAACAAGCATAATGCAAAATACTAAACAAAGGGAATGTAACCGTTTGTGTGTTTTCTTTTTGTTTTTTCTTTTTTTTGTGCGTGTGCGTGTGCTTGTGCTTGTGCGTGTGCGTGTGTATGATTGTGGTGTTTGAGGAAGCACAGATGAGGAAGCACAATGCCAGCTTCCTCATCTGATGACTCCAGATGTAATGAGGGACCAGGAAGTGCATATATTATAACAATTGTGGTACATATACAGGTTGTGTATTAATTTGTAGACGAAGAGTATGCCTAACTTCTGCATATGGTTTGTTTGTTTGTTTTTTTTTTTGTTTTTTTTAGCACTTAAAAGCATAAAGGAAAGTGAAGAAAAGGACAGCCCATGTGGTCACCTAAGAGGAAAGGCAATGTCAGATGACTCCAAATCTGACACGACTCTTAAACAACGTGTGTATAAACTTTGTTTACCTTGTTTAAACAGGAATGTCTGCATTCTATACCTACATCATTTTGTTTAAATGCTGATGAATGATTTGTGGCAGATTCTGATGACGAACCTCTCCGGAGTTCACCTCATTTATGGTCTTACCTGACTAGTTCCTGTAGAACAGAGCCTGTAATCGGTCAGTACTCCTCTTCTTCCCTTGATCCTTGACTAGTATGATTACTGAATTTTTTTGTAGTTGTAATTGTTTTGTTTTTTTTTCAGGTTTGAGTGTGGTCACAGAGTACCGCAGTTCCTCTGGTCAGAACTCATTTCTGTGCTCAAGCTGCAAAGTAATCCTCCCTACCAGTAAATATATGTGCCATCTGATTAGTCCACGCCACCGCTTTACCTACATTGTGAGTCAGTTTTAGCTGTTCACTGAGAAGATTCATTACAATGCCTCAGCTTTCCTATTGTGTAGTGCTAAATATTACTTGAAAATTGATTTTTCAACAGAAAGATAATCACCCAAAGCTTGTGGAAAAGTGGAAAGATACGATTGACTTGACTTATAAAATCCCAGTCCTTAAAGAGAAGGCAAAAATTGTGCAGGACAGCGAAGGCTGGGGACAGATTAAGGTTGTCATATTCTATCAATCACTCTATAATAAGATTATAAAGAGCATGTCATAGGGTTAGTTTTCAAATTTGGTCAATTGTTTGTTTGTTTGTTTGTTTGTTTGTTTTTAAGGTCGTGGAGAAGGAATCTCCAAAACTGAAGGAGCAGGCAGCACAAAGTAAGAATAAACAGAAATTTGAATAAGTCTGGAGTTTATTTATTTGGTCAAATTCATTACCCCATGTTAAATAATAATTTCCCGATCTATGTGTTAGATTTGCCTTACCACTCCATGTCAGCCCTGAGCACTATTCCATCCACACTATTACCATCACTATCACTATGACCTCTATATAAAAAGAGGACTAAATGTGCCCCAGTTCTCTTCTAAATAAACACATCCAATGGATGAAGCAAACCGATAGATCAAGTTTATAAATACAGGATTTGGATTGTTAGCTATAAACCTTTGGACCTTGCTGCTGAATTCTTGGCTTTTTTGCTAACAGTAGAGTTTGACAAAACAAATAATTGTATGTGAATAATTTCATGTGAAACAGCTCATAATGGCTAGCCATGGCTTATATTACTCACCAGGTAATTAGTTGTATTATTGTATTTGTACTGTTTTGATTCAGATGCTGAGAACTCAGTCAAGGCTCATGAAGCAGAGCCTCCTCAAACCAGTAGTGAAACAGGTGAGATGCAGAGAGATGTATTGACATTTAAATTGGTTTAATGATACATGCAAACTTCAATTCCAAAAAAGTTACCTTATGAACTTAATTGGGTTTTTCATTTTAAATAACTACATGTTCATTCATTTGATGCCTTCTAAACATGTCCCAAAAAGTTGGGACAGAAGCATGTTTACAACTGTTATTATCTTTCATTATCCATTATCTTCCATTTTTACAACAGTTAATAATTGTTTTTTATAATTTTTCTATAGTACTTTTAATAATTGTGCAGTAAAAACACCTATTGATCCAGTTTTGAAAGTGGATTTTTTTGCCCATTGTTGTATTTTGCACTTCATTATGCACTTGTTTTTAGTAGGAGACAGTCTAGAGCCACCACTCTCTGATTACCCAGCAATACTGTTGTAGCTTGTGCAGAAAGTGGCTTGGCATGGTCTTGCTGACATAAGAATGAATGTCCCTTAAACCTATGGAATCTAGAAGGTAGCCAGTCACAGATCTGCAACTTTCCCATGCCATGGGCACTAATACACCTCCATACCATGACACGGTCCTGACTTTACACTGATAACAATCTGGATGGCTCTTTCCTTTTTTGATATGGAGAACATGACATCCATTATTTCCACAAATCTGAAATAGTGACTCGTCAGACCACAATACATTTCCACTATGCATCAGTCCATTTCAGATGAACTTGTGGTGATGTCCATCAAAGAGGGATGTCCGTTTTTAATGCAGTGCCGTCTAAGGGATTAAAGGTCACAGAAGTTCAAGTTTCGGTTTTCCACAATTGCCCTGCCCCAAATTAATTGGAATGTGTTGCAGGCATCAATTTTACATGAGTGTACAAAAAACAGTGAAGTTCATATGGTAAAACATTAAATATCTCCTGTTCATACTGTTTCCATCTAAATCATTATAAATCATTTAGGGTTTTGTATGTCTTTTGTTTTTTTTTGCATTGCAATTTTGGAATTGAGGTTTGTGCTTATATGACAACTATAGAGTAAGTGTTGGTGACCGACTATTTTTATATATTTTTTTTATAATTAATGCTTGTTTTAAATTAGTACACACAGAGCAGCAGGGCCAAAACACCAAGAGGCGAAAATCTCTGAAACAGCTGAAAAAGAAGAAAATCAACAAGGACAGTGCTTTGATTGGTCAGTAGCACCTACAAAAGACATTGATATTTAAGGTTTACTGTTGTGTGGATTAATCTTGGATTTTGCTATATACACTCCCTGTGAATGGCAGGATTTATCAATCAACACTGATCAGAAATTAAAGCTCTACTGTTGTGAAAGTTTTCAGACCTGTAGTCTCATTCTCAAACACTAACAGTCACCAGAGTTCTTTGCTTGATTAAATGTTTTAATGATATTTTGCTGATTTTATTTAAGAAAAGTATATTGGCAGTTTTGCATTCACCTGTCTGAATTTGTTTTGCAGGGTTGAATTTTATTACGTGTGTGACTCATGATAAAAAGAAGCTGTTCTTCTGTGAACTGTGCTCTGTGAGGTGTCATTTAGACCACATGTCTAGTGTGACCCACAGAAAAACCTGTGTGGTAGGTCATTAAGTACCGTTCTCTCAATATCTCTTATAATTTATCTCTGTGTTGTACCACTGTGTGTCTGTGTGTCATAGACCATGGGTGAATGAATGGGAAAATAATATGTAACTTATGTTGTACAGGAACATAGATATCCTGGTTGGACTGAAAGTGATGCAAACATGGAGAGGATGAATGAGATTGTCTTACGTTTAGCAGCAGTGGAGCGAAGCACTGGGATTGGAATGAAGGTAACTCAACTGGCAGTGCAGCAAATTGGGGATGTAGCAATTTTAAATACCGACATAATTAATCTGTCTTAGCTCACTCCAAACTACTCTGTCCAGACATCAAAAACATTGTTAGCTTCTTGCAACTATGTTACTTTGTCTTCTCGCAAGAACTGCTAGTGCTGTCTAGCTGCTGCATCACACACCAGCAAAGAAAACAATTGTTACAACATTTACTTTTTATACTTAAGTATAAATGTTTTATACTTGAGTACAAAAGTTTAAATGTGGATCATTTTTATTTTTTGGCTCAATACTTCCACTTATTTTATTCATTTATTTGGAGTAATGATAATAAAAATGACAAGTTGGCCAAGTATTTTTTCATGTCTGGTGGAGAGTTTCGTGGCAGGCAAAAGAAGGCCAAGGCAGGATGCTAGTACAGAGAGAAAAGATCTTTATTCACAAGCATGCTGGAGAGTCTCAAAAGAACCCTGCTTGGTCTCTTCTAAAAATCTTTTTTAAAAGCTTATTTCTGGCTACCCAAGATTGGACTGCAGCCTGTATAGTGCTGATTGGCTGTAACTAAGGGAGTAACTCTGTTCTAGTTCTCCTCCACATTCCTGAGCCAGACGGGCCCAGGCACAGAGATTGGGTTATCTCACAGCTTCACTTTGTCTAAAGCACAAGGAAACACACACATACACACAATGGCACTGAAGAATATTTGAAGCAACACACACTTGTAATTCAGCTAATAAGGAATCATGCAGCAACGGCACACCGTATGCCAAAAGTATGTGAACAGCTGACCACCAAAACTATATGAGCTTGTTGGACATACCAATACCAAGGGCATTAATTGGCTCAACCCATTCTACTACTAGTGTTAATCTATGGCGACTGCAAGGCTATGTGTTTTAGCAGTGGATGAGGCTGAAACACCTGAAGTCAATAATTAGGAGGGGTGTCCACACACTTGTGACCATATAGTGTATAATCATTATTTCTTACCACTACTAATGCAGGCATCTTTACTACTCTACATATGGTTTGCGTCAAAGCTCTGCTGTGAGGGATCAGTCCTGTACTAATCCTTCCTTGCTCAGCCAGAAGGACCCATTGTATGAAAGGGAATACTAGACAGTAGAGAACAGGGGGGAAAAATGGGCAGAGGTCCAAGGTTTTCAGAATACCTTTACAAGTTAGTCAGTTTCCAAAAAACATCTGCTGGAACTGATCTTTCTTCTTGTTGGTTTACAAGCTGAGACAATAGTTTTACTCTGGTATGGTTATTACATTAAAATGGTGAAGTAAAAGTAATTTATTAGAAATTAACACAGGTAAAAGTACTTTGATTTGATGAAGGTTCTTCTATAAACAACACTATGGATTCTTGGATCACTTCAGCTTCAGAAATTTGGCAATATGGCATTGAGGCTGCCATTTAATGATAGGCCACATGTTGAATATGATATTCTCATCTTTTTTATTTCAGATTTTTTTTTTCATTTAAGATTTTTCATGTCAAATAATAACAGATAGTAAATAGTCTGCAGAGCACACATTTTTGTGTGTGTGTGTTGGGGGGGTGCAATTAGAAAATTTAAAATAAAGTGATAGGTGTATTTATGACCTGTGTCATTATTTGTATTTCTTTTTTTTCCTTCTCTTCAGAAACTAAACGTTCCTGCTGATGTTTTCACAGCCTTAAGGACTGCACCTATCAATGATGGTATGCCCCTTCACTGTGATTCATTAGACAAACCAGACTTAACTTTGGCTAACTTGTATAAGTATGGGTTTGTGATCAACAACATTAATAGCACCAAAACATTCATTCATTTAATTAATTAATTGTTTATTTGTCTGTCTGTCTGTATATCTGTCTATCTATCTGTCTATCAGCCCTGTCTCAGCTGAAATTACAGCAGACAAAACTAGAGGCTGGAATGGACCTAAAAGGTGGCCGTGCCTCTCCAGAACCCAATTCTAACACAGCAACTTACTGTACACGTGGTAACTACCAAAGCACATTATCTTTCCACCCTTTATGCTGTCTTGATTTTATTTGTCAGTTGTAATTCCCTCACCCTGTAGAATTGGCAGATCAAGAACCACCTATTTCTATACCTCTGTGGTTGTTTGTTTTATTTGAAAGAAAAAATTTACATGGAATGTATTCTTTGTAGCCTAAGTCCAGGGTTTGGAAAATTAACGAATCTATTTCTGGTTATAATAATCAGTCAGTGCACAAAGTGGTATTAATTTGCACATCATTGTACATTTCCACTAAATGCTTTTCATCCTAACTATATATAATTCGTGCCACATTAATCCCATCAAATAATCATTACATAAAACATAGTCTAGGTGATTTAATATATTTATTTATATTTGTATATGTTCTATATGAATGTGTGTTACAGCACATATGGTTATGGGCAAACGTTTGGGCCCCCTGGTCAAATGATATGTTTTGTTGATTTTCTAAGTGAAATACGTTAACACATTCTCTACAGGGAGCAAGCTTGAAAATGTAATTTAAAATATAAAATATACAATAAAATTTTCACAGCCCACATTTTTTTTTCCAATATGTTAAATTCAGCAAAAAAACAATTATGCATTAAATTATGCAATTAATAATTATGCATTAAAATCTGTCTACAGGATGTGTTCAAACCTGTCATTTGACCGGGGTGGCCAAACCTCTGCAACTGTAGTTGCGATCCTTATCTTAATTTAACTGCACTTAAATAATGTATTGCTGGAGCTGTCTGTCTGCTATAGTACTCCTGTGAAAGTATTGCTGAAGAAGAACCTTTGGCTGTGTTGTCTGTGCAGGAACCTACAATGATATTGACAATCACATGCCATGTTCTGCTGCAGCTAGCAGCTCTTTGCAGCAAGAGCAAGCCCCCATACTGGAGACGTCTATGATTCCAGGTGAGGTTACTCCTGCACCTACACACTGAACATAGTGAATTATGGTTTGTTCATGTTTTTCCTGAAATATGAAAGAACTAACAATATCTTTTGCGTTGTTTTTGTCTAGATGAAACATCAAATCCTCTGAGTGAAAGCCATTCAGGCCCCATACCTCTGGATCCTTGCTCTGTTTCCTCTGTTCCTGTCTCATCCCTTCCCACATTACCCGCTCCTTGTGACACTTCTTCTTTAGACCTCCATGCACCAGCTGAACCTTACAGCACAGTTTCTTCTCCACCACCAAGCATACAGACTTCCCCTGTTCCTCTGCCTCCTCTTCCACCTCCTGTCCTTGACCTACCTCCTCTCCCCCCTCTTCCACCTCCTGTCCTTGACCTACCTCCTCTCCCCCCTCTCCCACCTTCTGACCTTGACCTACCTCCTCTCCCCCCTCTCCCACATTCTGTCCCTGACCTACCTCCACTCCCCTTTTCCCCCATTCCTCTGCCACCTCCTATCCCTGACTTTCCTTTGCTTTCCTCTCAGCCTTTTACTTCCTCACAGTCACTCTCTTCATCTCCACCCCTGTATGAGCCCATCTCTCCTCCTTCTCTGTATAAGCCCAATTCTCCTCCACCTCTGTATGAACCCATCTCTCCTCCGGCTGCAGCTGAGTGTCAGGCCACACCTTATATTGCCTCTCCGTATTCTGCTTCTTACCAAACCTCCCCTTCGTCCATCTCTCTGCTACAGCCCTCCAAGAGTCATCCCATGGAGGGTGAAGATCATGCAGATGGTAAAACTTCCTTTCTTACTCCCACTCGTACAGTGTCTTTCTCTGTTTTCTTTATATAACTCTGTTTGGGTGTATGTCTATGTTTGTCTCTGCCTGTCTATCTGTTGGTCTTTCTATTTGTCCCTCCTTTTTTCTTTTCTGACACAGCAAGAATTTTATTTATGCTCTTTGATGCGTACTTACAGCCCCAAGGCACACATAACTCCCATTTGTGTTGTACTCCCCTTTTGAATCAGCAGTTTATGAGATAGACAGACATACTTCTCTAATGTTTTCACAGAAAAATGCCTGTAGTTTATAATCTTATCAGTCAAATATCTCTTATAAACCATCATTATTATACTTGCTGGCCCTGTTTTTGCTGGTAATAATAATAGTGCCAAGACCCTAAATCTTTTTACCTTGTCTAACTTGTGGCCCACACAACCGACCACAAAGGCTTCCACGTCCCACAAGATTTGACCAAGCAGATCATTTAAAGTGCAAACAAATGTGATATAGTAATCAATCTGCTTGATTTTGTAACGCAACACAGTAAACTATAAAAAATAACCAAACATTTCCTGAATCACCTCATTAACTGATGTTGTTTGGCAGCTGATAAGTGCTGGATGACATGCTGAATAAATGAAAGTTGGAAAAGGAGGTCTGGCAACTCCCTACTACGATCCCTGCTACCCAGGGCCCAGACGTCTAATTAAATCTCTAACAATTGCCAAAGAAAATCAAACAAAATAAAAAGACTTCAAATGCTGAGTTGGTGGAGAGAGGAAAGGGCTTCAGGGGGCAACCAAAGCACAAACAACATTCAAAACACAGCTTAAATACCTTTTTTCTGGAGGGGGGATGATTCCTTATTTAGCCATGTATAAGTCCAGACATATTACCATATTTGGTTTCTCCTGGGTGCAAATGCATCCTATGGCAGCTAAAAAAGAGCCTTATCCACCAGCTTTCGCTTTTAAAGACATCCTATACCATATGCTTACATAGTTCTTACTCAGCATGACCCATTTCAGAAGGTTCAGAAGCACACAGCTTAATCTTATATGACCTCCTTTAACAGAGAAAATCCAATATTTCTCTTCTTAATCAATATCTTATCTGCTGATTAATAAGATATTTATTCAAATCAGCCATCACACCGAACACAGTTTATTCATGCAGTATTTTCGGACAGCAGTAAATTTATTCAATCATGTGTATAATTGATAATGTCCTGCCACAGCCTACAAGTTAAAAACCACTGCTTTAGACTTTTGCGCCGTATTGTGTAATACACAGAATGTTTCTTGTCTGTAGTTAATAATATCACAGACATCACAAAGCAGCTTTACAGAAATGTGGGTCCAAGTATATATGCAAGTGTAATCATGTCAGGAATCTGGGTTTAATACGTTCATATTAGATAACTGTGATAACTGGAATGTGAGAGAACACTGGAAGATTCTTTGTTATTTTCATTATGTTTAACTATGTGCATTTTCTTTACATAAATACTAACATTTAAAATTCTGCTGTACTGTACACACGGAGGGTCCTTCTTTGATCCTCACTTTATTTAATAGCCAACATCCTATTTCCACAAGGGTCTAAAAAAACAGATCTGTTAAGAAATAGTTTGTCCCTATTCATTGACAGCTTCATCCACTACATGATCCAACTTAGAGCAGAACTGAATTTTGACCCAACAACACCATACCAAACCATTCCTGTCTGAACATCTCCATACTTAGATGACAGAACAGATCAAGGCAGACAAGCGCATGAAGACTGACCCAGTTGTGATTTGCTCGCACTCTTCTATTCTGTGATTTGCCGTGTAGAGCAGGGGTCGCATCTATTTTTTTTTCTATTGTTTCCAAAAAAGTTGGGATGCTGTGCAAAATGTAAATAAAAGGATGCCCACAGCTAACACATAGAAAGCGCTTTGAGTTTTAAATCACCACTCTTGTCTAGCATGACAGGAGAATTATCTGATGTATAAGAGTGGAATAGAGAGCTGAAATCTACCTGTGACGCCTGAACTTTGTTTCTCTGTAACCACACTAAATCATTCAGACACAGACTTTTTTTTTTTACTCCATATTCAGATAATTGTTGAAATGGAATGTTAATATCTGTGTGCTGACATATTTCTGCAGTGTGCACCCAGTCTATGCTAAGAGAGGAGAGCAGGCCTCTGGTCACTGCACCACCACACATGGACATTGTTCTGAACCTGCCCACAGGTTTGTGCTACCTTTGTATTCCCTCTACAGAGTTTTACTTCGTGAGAGAAATGTGTCACTTAAACACATTATTGCTTACTTTTTTCTTGTATTCTCCCGAATGTTTTATTTACCAAAAACAGTCATAATTTATGTTTACATAACCATTCTGATATTCGTACATTATCTCTGTTCTGACCAGCTGCCCTATATTGTGCGCCATTAAAAACATTGGGCTGAAGCACTGTTTATAACTTGTGAATGGATGGAGCTAAACTGCTGTAGGCTGAATAGATGGATGTATGTAAATGTGTTGTTTTTCGAGACATCAGAAAAATAATGAATTCAAAAGGGGCTGTTTTTGCAACTTTGCTTTTTTTATATATAAATATTATGCGCTGGTGAGTGAATAGCACATTTAAACATTTTAACCATGTTTACATACTATATTAACATCTTTTATCAAAAAACCACAAGGGAAATGTGCTTTTCTTTGATATGTGCTGCTTACGGGGGGAATTTCTTTAAAGTATTTCAAGAGGTGCTATCCTGAATGATCAGGCCCTGTGAGCCTTATTGAGAACAATCAAATAAATTGTTTATTTTCTCTTTGATAAAATAATTTTATTTTTGTGTAACTGCACACATGCTTTGTCTTTTTTTTTAATGCTAACTTGTTTTTGTCATCTGTGCCTGACAGTGGAAGGGCAAAGCAACGCCTATCTGTTTCTCAATTTGCGGAATCTTCCTAGTACAGAGCCAATTATAGGTATGTGCCTATGAAGTTACCCATATTATGTTGTTATATTGTAATTAAATTTAATTTTTAGAGAAATGTACTTTGTGTGTTATGTGTTTGCAGGTCTATCTAACATTGTGGAGTGCCGAACAACAGTCCGGCCAACTTTATTTTTGTGTCTGAATTGTACTGAGAAGTTTAGCACAAAGAACTTTTATTGCCATATGACCAGTGAGAAGCACCAATACTATTCCATTGTGAGTGCAGAAGTGTTTATGATGTTCAAGTTGTGTTTTAATTACTGTTTGCTCATAATTTTAAAATTGCATTTTTTTTTGCCATCTTTCAGAGGATTCGGTATCCTGGAATATTTCAGAAGTGGCAGTGGCAGACCAGTCATAAGCTGACTATTCGTGACTTGGCTAAGAGACTGGCATTGGAGGAGCAGGGCTTAGATGCCAAGGTAAACTATTTAGGGTTGAAAAACCTGATCATGACTGGATTTTAACATTAAAGGAAGCAAAAGGATGTTTCAAACAGATGACAGTTATTCCGGTTTATCAAAATGCATAAGTACACAAGCAAAGGTTATACTTTATACATAAACACAATAGCATAGTAATGTTATTCATTCCACAGAAATAGCTGAACTTATGACATCTGGAATGATGACTATATTGAGGAATGGTCAAGAGCAGGGGTGATTCTAAGATCAGAGATTTAGGGGTGCTGAGCACCCAATGAGACCAGCCCAACCTGTTTTTGTTGTAGTATCTGGAGTTCCATGTGTTCTGTTTTTGCAGGTTTGGAATGTTTAAGTTAGGGGGCCCCTGGTCCAAAGGCCCCATAGGGAGTGGGCCTCTTTCCCTTCCTCTCTTAGTTCCAGACAGATGAGATCATTTTAAAAAGGACCATATGTTCTGTTCCCTTTTTCGAAAACAAGCACCCTATATAAGCAGATATTCTGCATATATTCTGGAGGGGAACACTTTAGAATTGGCACAGATCCTCTCTCAGGTACTTTATAGTGCTTGATATGATACTGTTTTACTTTGTAATAAACATCTTATACAAGCAAGACGGTGTCAGCAGAGACATCTTCATCATCTTCACGTCATCGCTATTTAATAAACAACACTAGTCTAGCACCTTGGCTTTAATGTCAACATATAGGCCTACCAATGGCACAACAGCTTGTTTCTCTTACTCGAATTCAAACAATGATTGTTGATTGACAACCTGCAACATTAGCTTACTAGATACAAAAAACATCAGTTAGCTAACAATAACAACATAAAGAGTGATCTGTGATTCAGTGCAGCAGAAATGAGGACTGCTGCTAATGATTGTAATGTGTTGGTGCTGGGTGATAAGAAATCCTTGTCTGTGCTATATACTGGAGCCACCACACCACACAATCACACTGTAACTGGCTCTAGTGTGCATGCGTGCTCAGCACAGCTACTGCACAGCTTTGGGGAGAGCAGGGTGGGGAAAGAGTAGGAGAGAGAAGGTGGATCATAACATTTGCTTCAGAGACTTCCAAAAAAAAAAAGACTTTTTACTCTTATTTTGAGAGGTGCTGGGACTCAATTTAAAAAGGGGCTAGACACGCCTATGGTCAAGAGGAAAAATGATCTCTCAATTAAACAAAAGCCTAAACCAAAAACACTGGGTTTTTTGTGTTCTACAGGTCATCAAGCTGGACCACAAGCAGTATGACAGTGTGCAATCAGCAGACTTCCTCAGTGGTGAGTGCACCTATATGTGTCTGCAGTTGAAATGAACAGAACATCTCCTTTTTTAGATGATACACGTAAGACGGACGCGGCCCCTCTGTGACTTTTCTATTTATGCTTTTCCACATTGTTGGATATTCAGTTTGTGGTTTTCTTCAATTAGGCATATTTTGGGCACACATTGCATCTCCAGTTTTCTCTATGGGATCACTGAGGACTGATGTCATAGTTACAGGTCACTTTGATATGTGTGTTTTGTATATTTTAGCAATTGAAATACTACGGAGAATATATGGACCAGAACACAGCCAGAGTTCTCTGCCTTTGCATCTCACAGGCCAGACTCCAAGAGGTAGTGTGCCACCTGTCACAGTGCTCTGCACCACCCCATTATTATTATTTTTTAATTACACGTGATCACCTGTAGTGTCTTAATAAGCAATTATGAGCACATGTGAAGTAATGAAAGCCTGTCTTTGTGCTTTCTTTGCAGCAAGGTTACAGCGATGGCACGTAGAGACTGGTAGAGAAACAGATAGACATCGGCCACAGCAAAACTGTGACCTCAATCCAAGCCAAACAACACAACATGGACTTCATAACAGCCAAGTACCAGACAGGGGTGAGAAATAAACAAACAAAAATTTCTGTTTTGGTGGATAATTGTCTAGAACTGAACTGATGAGTACATGATGACTGTTTTCCAGCTTTTGATATGACACAGGGCAACCTTGATAGAAGCACTGAAATGAGCAGCCTCACCAGGGATCGGCTACAGCACAGTCAAAGCCCTCAGAAAACCAGGAAGGGCCCAGAAATGGCCAATGCTCAGACACAACAGACTCAGCATCAGTTTAAATCACAACCAGGTCTAGCAGCAGAGTTTGAAAGCAGAAACATTAGGCTTCACTCTCCTGAGACACATACTGAAAGTACACCGGAAGCACCTGGTACAAGTAAGTGAATGCAAAATGCGCCAGTCTGTTGTTGCAGAATTTGCTCCCCATAGGAATGAATGGCAGAAAGATTGTGCAAATGTTTGTACATCCCTCTTATGTCACCATGGAAGTACATTAACAATGCTCTAGCAATCACCTAGCAACCTCTGAGCAAAAATGAGTGATGGTAAACACTTAGCAATACTTTTGCAATCACCTCCAATACCATAGCAACCACCTAAAAGCACCCTAGCAACCAAATGGAACACCATAGCAAACCCATGAACAGTATAGCAAACCTGTAGCAACCACCTAATAAAATCGTAACATCCACCTCCAATACCACAGTCACCACATAGTAACACCCTATCAACCACCTGGAATAACATATGAACCGCTTTGCAACACCTTAGCAACCCCTAAAAAAAACATCTAGGAATACCCTACCAACAAATTAGAAACTGCCTAACAGCCACCTAAAATACCATAGCAACTACATAGCAATACCCTAGCAACTTTGCTTAAGCATTTTAATCAGAAAATGCAATTTACTAGTTATACTAGTAAATATATTAATGGCATTACCCAAAAACATGCATAACATGTAACTAGAGCCAACATTGTATATAAAAGGACTGATGTTCTCATTTGTTTTTACTAATGAAATTTTCTGTTATTGTGTCTGAGTGTACTCTGACAGTAATTAAATAACTAAATAACTCTGCCAATATACATATATATTTTTTTTAATTTCAGGTTGTGCCAATTCACATTCTTCACAAACTCCGGAGTTAACTGGCAAAGAACAAATAACTGCACAAACCTCTTCCTGTATGATCAGAATTAAACAGGAGAAACCTGACTATGATGAGGGTAACAAAATCCCTTTTTGAGCAAATGTATTTTCTATAGTTTTGTGTGTTTTTACAGATGATGCGAAGATTATAATGCAAGATTCAAAATATCTGTTTCATTTTCTTAGTTTCTCCGGGGACATGCGGTTTTGCAGTTCACATTGCTCCTAGTGCGGAAGCACCGAGTTCTAGAGAAGCTACAGGTGAGGGTACACAGTAGTTAATACTGCTCCAAATCTATTTAGTATTACAAAAAAAGTTTTAAATATTTTTGGTATTTGTGTATTACATTAGCAGCAATCCTTTTTGGACTACATGATATTAATGGATTAATTAAACTTTGATGTTTTTATTGCTTACACAGGAAATCCATTCAAGCACACAACTGACCTGAAAGAATATCTAAGCAGCAAAAGAGCAGCGTCGGACGCTGTGGTTGGTCAGTATCACTGGGTTTACATTCTCTGTACATTAAGTAGTACATTGTTTCTTTGTTTCTTAAATATATATATATATATATATATATGTATATATATATATGTATATGTAATATATGCGTGCGTGTGTGTGTGTGTGTGTGTGTGTGTGTGTGTGTGTTCCACAGGTCTGAGCTCAGTGATTGTGTGTCAAAGTGAGGGTCAGGCGCCACTGTACTTGTGTGTATCCTGCTCCAGCAAACTTAGCCATGACCTCATCATCAACCACCTACTGAAGCCTGGCCACCGAGATAGTTATCTGGTGAGTCTCCTTGGCTTACGCATAAAAACTAAAGTTTGACACTGAGTTTGTTTTTGTCCAGTCAGTTAAAACATAATCCAAATCCAAATCTCTGTTTCAAGCAGATTGGACAGAGTAAGTGTCTGAATTACCTGATAATCCCACACATTCTTTCATTCCACTGTTGCTGCAGCATTCATAGCTGTATTCTGAATGTCCTTGACTCTCCGGCCAAAACACACAGACAGAGACTACAGAGCATTCCTCAGATAAATGGAGCTTTAATACAAATGGAAGTGTGGGAGCTTAACAGGGCAAAAGAATCCTAAATCAAAATGTTAACTTCTCAGAGAGAGACCACTCAGTAGTAGGCACTTTGAATAATTTTGCAAGCATTTTGGGGAAAAAAAACAAAAAGTAATCAATTACTCAAAAGATAGATAAAAATGAGCAGTATGATGCATGCGTGCAATTATATTGTGCTTTATCCTCTGCACAGATTCAATTAACAAAAAATGTTAAATTGCAAATTAGGTAGGTGTTGAAAAAATACTAGTATGTATTTAAAAAATGTTCACCAGTAGCAAGCTGTTGGTCTGCACACTATGACAACAACAGTTTCCAAAAAAGTTGGGATGCTGTGCAAAATGTAAATAAAAACAAAATTTAATGATGTGCAAATAATTTAAACCCTTTGTTTAATTGAAAATAGTACAAAGACAAATGTTGAAATCTAAGAAATTTTATTGTTTTTGAAAAATATATGCCCATTTTGAATTTGACACCAGCGACAAATTTCCAAAAAGTTGGGACGGGGGCATGTTTACCACTGTGTTACATCACCTCTTCTTTTAACAACACTGTGTAAGTGTTCAGGAACTGAGGAGATTTGAAAGTGATTTTTTTTTTTTTTTCCCATTCTTGCTTAATATAAGATTGCAGCTGCTCCTTTCTTGTCTTTTTCAACTTCTGATGCACCAAATGTTTACAATGAGCGACAGATCAGGACTGCAGACAGGGCAGTTTAGCACACGGACTCTTTTACTATGCTCTCTCTGTGCTGTTGCAATACGTGCAGATTTTGGTTTGGCATTGTCTTGCTGAAAAAAGCAAGGCCTTCCCTGAAAACGACTTTGTCTGAATGGTGGCATGTGTTGCTCCAAAAGCTGTATATATTATTCTGCATAATGTTGCCTTCACAGATGTGCATGTCACCCATGCCCTGTACACTTATGCACCCCCATACTATCATGGATGTTGGCTTTTGAACTGTGCACTGATAACAAGCCAGATGGTCCCTCTCCTCTTTAACCTGGAGAATGCAGTGTCCATGATTTAGATTTAATTTTGATTTGTCAGACCACAGAACACTTTTCCATTTTGCCTCAGTCCATCTTAAATGAGCCTGGGCCCAGAGAAGGCGGTGGTGTTTCTGGATCCTCTTAGTATTTGGTTTCTTCTTTGCATGATAGTTTTAACTTGTATTTGTGGATGCATACAAACTGTGTTCACAGACAGTGTTTGTGAGCCCATGCAGTGATTTCCACTACAGAATCATGTCTGTTTTTAATGCAGTGCCACCTGAGGGCCCCAGCCAGTACTGATTTTGTGCCTTGTTCCTTGCATACAGTGATTTCTCTGGTTGCTCTGAATCTATTAATGATATTATGTACCATAGATGATGAAATCTGCAAGTTCTTTGCTATTTTATGTTGGAAACAATATTCTTAAGTTGATTCACTTTTTGTCCATGTTGTGAACCCCTCTCTATCTTTTACTTCTGAAAGACTCAGCCTCTCTGGGATGCTCTTTTGATAGATTATGTATGTATGTATGTATGTATGTATGTATGTATGTATATATGTATATACACCGATTAGGCATAACATTATGACCACCTCCTTGTTTCTACGCTCATTGTCCATTTTATCAGCTCCTCTTACTATATAGGTGCACTTTGTAGTTCTACAATTACAAACTGTAGTCCATATGTTTCTCTGCATGCTTTGTTAGCCCCCTTTTACCCTGTTCTTCAGTGGTCAGGACCCTCATGGACCTTCACAGAGCAGGCACTATTTGGGTGGTGGATCATTCTCAGCACTGCAGTAACACTGATGTGGTGGTGGTGGTGTGTTAGTGTGTGTTGTGCTCGTCTGAGTGGATCAGATACAGCTGTCCTTCTGGAGTTTTTAAACACCTCAGTGTCACTGCTGAACTGAGAATAGTCCACCAGCCAACAGCGTCCTGTGGGCAGCGTTCTGTGACCACTGATGAAGGACTAGAGGATGACCAACACAAACTGTGCGGCAGCAGATGAGCTATCATCTCTGACTTTACATCTACAAGGTGGACTAACAAGGTAGGAGTGTCTAATAGAGTGGACAGTGAGTGGACACAGTGTTTAAAAACTCAAGTAGCACTGCTGTGTCTGATCCAGTCATACGAGCACAACACATACTAACACACCACCACCACGTAGCAGTGCTGAGAATGATCCACCACCCAAATAGTACCTGCTCTGTGAGGGTCCATGGGGGTCATAAGGAGGTGGTCATAATGTTATGTCTGATCAGTGTATGCATGCGTGTGTGTATATATATATATATATATATATATATATATATATATATATATATATATATATATATATATATATATATATATATATATATATACACACATAAAATAATAACATTTCTTAGTTTCCACATTTGATGTGATGTTATCTTGTACTTTGTATTTTCAATTAAATATAGGGTTTAAATGATTTGCACATTATTGCATTGTTTTTATTTACATTTTGCACAGTGTCTTAACTTTTATGGAGACAGTTGCTGTAAGACTTTGCCTTAAAAGACTTGCAAGAGTTTTCTTTGAAGCAGTTATGAGCAAGGAGGTGATTTCATGGCACTTTCTTTCATGGTTTATGGGTTACTTTGAAAGTAAACAATCTTGGTACCATCAAATAACAAAACATACCAGACTCTCCAGCACCAACCAGAAGAGGAAGGAAATAGAGAGATTAAGATCAAGATTGGGATCGAGAGATTTAGTGAGCCTGCAGGTGTCTTCCCCCCTAACACAGACTTAATCAATGTAGTTATACCCTTATGCAAATGATATGTAAATTAGACAAACTACATATACAATTGCTGATTCATCAGTACAGATCAAATTCTGTATATTGTAATGCATACTTGGATTGTTTCGGAAAAACTGAACTGAACAAAATGTCCCACGTGCATCCTAATGAAGTCAACAAAGAGTCACTCTTAGTCAGGCCCAGTGTTCCCGAATTGTCACCTTTTACCCAGTTCTACAATGATAGAAATACACTTCACCAGCTACTGCTGTTTCCATATTGAGTATATTTGGTGTACTGCCTTAATGGTAACTGAAAGTGTTCAAAGGAAAGATGATAAGGCACTTTGGGAAATGTAGTGTTTGTAGTGAATTAGTTTGTGTTGTTAATAATGGATTATGTATTGACTTTTTTCACCTTGATTAAGGTATAGCATATGATGTGTTAAATTGGGTCTGGAGATGCTCCTGGAACATAGTGTAAGGGAGTGGTTCCCAATTCCCATTCTGAATATTTGTTTATTCAAACCCAGCTAACTGTTGACCTCTTTATAAACAAGGTAGGTTGATATAGAGAAGAGTGCCACAAAAATGTACAAAGCTTGCGGCCCCTCTGCATAACCCACTGGTTTAAATGGATGTATTTTAACTGTTCTTGTGTTTTTTGTGTTCACAGAGGCACCGGTACCCCTGGTTGTTTGAGGACTGGTCTGATTCTGATAGTAGAACTCAAAGGTCTGCGATGCTTATGCGGCTTGCTCACCAAGTGGAGAAAAACTTTGAGGATGAGCCAGGCCAGCTACAGGTAAACCAGATTCTGCTCCTATTACAATGGAACACATGCTTCTAATTGGAATTCAAATATCAACCCATACTCTTCATATTAGAATCTGGAGATACCACAGAAAATCTGATGTTTTGATTTGCCTTTTGTAGGAGATGGAAGTACAGTGTGCTGTCTTGACAGAAATTAAAAGCCTGTCATTTGATAAAGGTAATTGTATTGACATTTAGTTGATATTAAATGTAAATACATTTATACTGATGTTTCTTGTGCCCTCTTTTTAGGTTTTTAATTTGTATGCACATTGTTTTTCTCTTAGCTATCATACAGTTACAGAAGATTAGAAAAGGGCAGAGGCTTTGTGCACTCCAAACCTGCGTTTCCCCCAAGACCCGAAAAGGTGAGGTACATGTTTCACATTGTTTATAATGTGAATAGAAATGTTATTTTCATTCAGAGGATTTGTTTTTATCTTATCTTCTTGACAAAATGTTTTTGACATGTTCAAGAGCAGGTATATATTTGAGCCTGAAGAGGATATTGCTAACTAAGCACTGTCTTGCCCTCTTTTGATGAAAACAAATTACTTTCTTTGCTAATTTGGTCATTTTGGCAGCTTGCAGAACAGTGAAGTACACCAAATAATGCCACATTCTGGGATGAGAGGAAAAATGTGCACTAATGTTCACTCGTTTACTTGATTTATTGAAGTAGATTAATTATCATTTTGATAAATTGAATGAAAATTCACTGCTTTGTTATATTCAGGTACTATCTAATTGGGCAGTTATATGATGGCATAAGTTTACTAAACATTTTGGCTATTATCTGCTCTTTACCAAGAAGGCAGCATGAGGTTCTGCTTATTTGTATTATCATACTAATAAACATGTCAAATTTATTGATTTTTTTCCTTTCAAAAGAGACCAAGAACTTGTGCAGCTCAAAATCATTTTATTTATTTTTTTAACTAGTTTTGGTGAAACAGGAAAATGTAGAGACAGAAGTGACGAAGCAGCGTTTACCACAGCTTGCTGATTTACCGGAGATAAGTAAGTTATGGTAAAACTAAAAATTCCACCACATTTCTATTTAGTATGTTGTTACAAACTGTTTCTCTTGTTTATTGTAGTTGCACAGAGGCCAAAGACAGCTTCTAAGCGCAGGGCTGCTGAACCAGATTCACGCCATGAGTCGCCGACACTTGTTAAACAAATCAAACTTTCAAGTGCTGTGACCTCCAGTCAAAAAACGCTCCAACAACCCAAACACTGGACCTGTGACCAACAAATACCTAGTCTTCCTAGCCCACACACTCCTAAAAACAGTGCCCAAATAACCACCACAACTGTGGTTTCCTCTAAAGAGTCATCACCTCAGAACCATGCTAACACTCAGCAGAAACCCAGGCATTTTAATGCTGACCTGTCGCATGTTTCTCTTCCCAGTTCTGAAGCTAGTCCCCCTAGACCCAAAGTCCAATACTCATGTCCCACTCAAAAGGCAACCACCTCAATCAAGCCCTCTCAGAAATCATCAGTACAAACAAATTCAGTGGTTAAAACCAAACCCAAAAGCTCAATTCCAGACACTCATAAAGCTCGTCTTGCTGCATCAGATCCTCGATTGGTAGCTAAGACAGCTTCAGACTGCCCTGAGCAATCCGGATCAGTTATCTCCAAGACTTGTTTAAAAAGGCAGCTTTCTGAAAGCAAGGCTCTCTCCTCATTATCTAGGACACAGTCCACTGATGACCCTCCCAGTCATCTGAGATGGTCACCTTTAGAATGTCCAGCAAAGAGGAGATGCTCAGATGAGGGCTTGGATAACCTTTCTCAAGTACAGAAAGAGAGGTCCATTTTGTCCACAGTCCTTCCAGACAGATCACAGTCTTCTCATTTAAACTCCTCAAGAAGTTCAGACCCCAGTACCCATACTGAGCGAGCTACCTCAAATCAGCCTTCGCTTTCATCTAAAAACAGTGATGGGCGAGCTTTGTCTTTTACCATCTTGCCACCTCAGCAAGAGTTTCCCTGTCCTAACACAAGTTCCATTAGTGCTCCATCCATGGAGGCACAAGGGCAGGAAATTGCTCGGCTTCATGAGAGACCCTTGGTGAAAAAGAGATCAACTGAAAATGCCTGGAATTATGAAAATCGACAGTTTAGCTCTGACACACTTAATACAAACCTAGAGGCTGCCCCCTCTGGTGAGGCTGACCGGAAAGTTCCTGTTAAGGATACAGACATCTCAACCTTTGCTGGTGTGGATAACACCGCCATGTCATACCCGGTTCCAGCACATAATGCTAGTGCTAGTTTATATTTTTCTACAGCATCAGAATGTGGCGGAACTACCTCTGTCACTAGTCCAGTGATACCTGGATATGCCATGCCTTATCCATATTTTGGATATAAGCAAGCTGATTATACCCAAGCCAATGTTACATATAGTAGTAGAGCACATAATTACACCGTGGCAACAGATAAAAGCGGCATAAATGCTCAATCTGCTGCTGCAGGTACTCCTACAAATGTTAGATACTTCACTGACAATAATCCAGCTTACACATCCCAACTAGTTTATCAGTCTCAACAAGTTTACCAGCCCCTCCATGCTTTCCAGTCTCCAGAGGCTTATCAGGCCTACTATGCTTTCTGTGCTTACAATCAAGTACATCAACCAAACCAGCCGACCGCATTCAGTGGAAATGTCACGTCAGCTGCTTCTGCACATGAACACATGCCCACCAACTAGGGGGCCACAAGTAAGTTTCATTTTAACATGTTAACTGTTAATTATAAGTAATCATTACTCAAATATCTGCCATGTCACACATGCTTTAGTTGTTTCAAGTTACAATATGTTTCTTCTCACTGCATATTTGATTATATATTATATGATGATGTTTACAGACATCTAAGTGTAGGTCCAGCATTTATACCAGTGCATTACACTAGTAATAAGTGTCAGCATGTTTAGATAAAAAAAAATAATTGGTGCAGAATGTGGCCTTATTGGTAATAACATAGTTCAATTATATTGAATGACTGTAATAAGTCATGTTTTGTTTCTGCCATGTCAGTCCTTAAATCTGAGGGTCATTTTGTTGCTAATTTCCCAGGGCTGTTATGAGAGATTAATACAAATAAGGAATTTAGTGATGAAGGGGAGTTTGCTTATAAGTATTGCCCCTTATTGATTTTACCACATCTTGATTTTAGTATTCAACATTTGTGTATTTATCTCTGCTGAAGATACAAGCAGTTATGTAGCAGTAATATAAAAAGTTATTTTATTTTCTCTGCCTTTCTTTTTTTCTCCTAGAAGCAGAACTGAAGAAATCTTATACCACGTGTAGTCATGTAAAAGGGGCCTTATTTTTCTCTGTTTTAAACAACTTTTGCTCTGATAACTGTTTCATTTTCTTTTGTTGCAATTACTTGAATGTAAATACTTTTGAAATGTTGTGCAGCAAGTGGTGTAATTCCTTTTATTTGGCCAGACACTTGTGCCTTTGTCTTGTTCTGTTAGATATACTACAAAGAGCCTGTTTTGTGTATATATTTTTAACACAGTTTTACAATCGGTGTTAATGTTTGTTCCAGAAAGGAAAATTCATTCAATTTATTTATTTTTTGTGTGCTTCTCTTATTTTTGTAAATAAATACTTAGTTATGAAATGCTTGTTTATACTTTCTTTGTTTCTGAGTTTATGGTCCCCCCCAGCCCCCCCCCAGGCCCTACAGTTTTCTTTATTTGAGTACTGGGAGAGTAACATAATACTTAAACAATGCAAAAAGTTTAAGTTCAGTACAGAAGCCCTATTTCTAGAAGAAGGTGATAACTTAATTTCATTGGAAGAGCATCGAGGCAGACGCTTTCTTATTTCCTTCTTGCTTACACAGAAAATATCGGCACCCTGTACATTTCTTTAAAAAGATTAATTGTCGTCCTCTCGTGTTATATGTCTTCTGAGGTTTACTTTGTTGCCAGGCAGAAAGTTAATGCTGTTTGATAAGAGCTAAATGCTCAAAATATTTTCATGAGTAATTACTGTTTCTGTGGTTGAATAAGACGTGTTGTTTTCACTTTAGAAAATCAACAAGACATGTAATATGACCAGGGGTGTTCAAACTTTTACATGCAGCTGTTTAAGCCTGTAGGCCTAAAAAGAACACCGGGTCTGAGACTGCAGGCTACACCCCTACACACAGAAGTATCAGGTAGGCTGTGTATTTGGTACTTATATACCATAAGATATGCGTTGAATTGAGGCAGAAATAAAGTCACGGCACAGTCAACAATGTCTTTGCCAGATGTATCCACAGAATTTGTCAGACAAAAACAGATTTTATGAGGTTGAAGGAAAATGATGATTATGGAAAAATTGGTTGATTAACTGTTTAAATGGGTTAAGTTAAAAAGAAGAATGAAAAATGAAAGAAATAAATGAATCGCTGTCTCTTTCTGTTCCCAAAACACAGATAACGGCTTGCTGCTGTTGATCTCCAGAATATCTAGCTGCCCCTCACTAGCTGGCAGGCCTCATTCAACCCTTTTTCAAGCCTGTCCCTCCTACATTATTTAAAAGCCTATGTCCAATCACTTTACGATGATATATGCTGTTCTGTTTGTACAGTTAGTTACTTTTTGAGCATGTGACCTTTTATTTATGACTGTAACTGCCATTTGGTAACACAGAGAGAGAGAGAGAGAGAGAGAGAGGCCCTGGATCCTTAAACACACGCGGTCCTAAAATGATCAACCCTTGAGTATAAGCTAATCTCAGCAAATGAAAAGATGTGTATACAGTGTACACTAATCACAGCAAATCAACAGATACACATTACCTGGATGAATAGATGGATAACACAATGACTCTTAAGGTAGTGTTGTTTATTAAATAGCGATGATGTGAAGATGATGAAGTCTCCACTGTCACCGTCTGCTTGTATAAGATGTTTATTACAAAGTAAAACAGTATCATATCAAGCACTATAAAATACCTGAGAGGGGATCCATGCCAATTCTTAAGTGTCCTCTCCAGAACAGTATAAGCAACTGCTTATATAGGGTGGTTGTTGTCGAAAAAGGGAACAGAACATATGGTCCCAAAATGATCTCATCCATCTGGAACTAAGAGAGGAAGGGAGAGGAAGAGAAAGGGGTGCATTCCTTATGGGACCGTGACCCATGAACTCCAGATACTACAGTAGACAGGACACAACTCTTTCAATACATACATAATTACATATCACAATAATCATGACATGTTAACTCTTAAAAGTGTGCTATTAAATGACTGTAATACACCACTGGCTTTTAAATGAATTTCAAACCTGTTCCACTTTTCCTAGTATGATAAGCTGACATTCAAATCTACTTTGTCAAATAATTAAATCATTTTGTAATGAAATATATTGTGTTTCATTGGCCAACTAATCATATTTTAAAAATACAACAGAAGACACTTCTGTTGCATTTCTCCTCTATATACATTTCTTTGCATTAAACAGTATTCAGATTTGTCACTCTACTCATCATGTGATTGTTGGAATCAGACTGATTTTAGATTATGGCCTCCATTGATGCCAGGCCAGTGAAAAATGCAGAATGACAAGCCGCATTCCTTGAAAAAGAACCCCAAAACACTGACACCTGAAAACAATAACATCTGAGGTGTGGGCACTGATAGCCTAAACCAGTTCTTTATTTACAGCAATGCATTTCTGCTCTTGCAATGATTTGTGTGCAAATATTGTCCATCTGTCATACCTCTTCCATAAGTGTTGCATTAAAATGCTCAATATATGTACTGTATATATATATATATATATATATATATATATATATATATATATATATATATATATATATATATATATAAATGATGACGGTAAAATTGGAGGTAAATTGGATGGAACTGGGAATAATTAGTTTTCTTTGGGGACTATTTTGCCTCACAACACCCTGTATGTACCCCTCCACCATGGATGCTTTCTAAATACATTTTCTGCTGAAACATTATCAAAACTATCGTAACACAGGCATAAGGTAGCGTATTCATAACCATTTCATGTAATAATTTGAGGGTAAGTTTCTCTGGCAACCAATCACCTTTTAGCTAGTCCCAATATCCGGACTTCGGTGACGCAATCCTGCATCCACCAATCCTGCTTTTCACCAATTATAATATTAATCAATATGTTTTTATCATCCGTCCTACGTTACGTCACTAGGTCTTTAAAATGTACTGTACTCCCTTCAAAGTCAAATTTTGTGTCATGCTTTGATTTATATTTTTTTGTTTGATTTTTGGCTTTGTGGGAAAATAATAAATTATTTTCATTCACTTCATAACTGTGGTCGGCAATTAGAACTGTTTTTAAGACCTCTTAAGTAAATTCCTGCATCAAAGAGAGTATTTCACGTCTAACCATCCTGAATGACTTTGTTTACATCTAAACTATTTAATTACGCACAATTTTGAAAGATCAGTGGAATTCCCCTTTAGGCAGCCTCCAGCAGACAATCTATGTAACAGTGAGCGGAGCAGTGCCTGCCTCGGCTCTGAGCTGAATGCGGTGGGGTCAGTGTGTTAGAACGCTGACCTCGCTCGAGCACATCTGAGCTGATAAAGCGAGGCTCTCAATAACCGCCCGCCCGCGCGCAGCTGTGCCTGCTCTGACCGAGTTCCCGCGCAGACGGCCCGGGGGAGAGTGAGTGCAGGTGACGCTACAGCGAGTTTAATCTTCATCCGCTCATGGAAAGCAGGTAAATCAGAGTGCTGTGCGTTTTCTTTAGTTTTCCACACTTGATTCGCTTCCTGAGAAAGATGTCACTGATGAGAAATTGGCTAAGAAAGTTTTAACGCTTGGTTTTTCAGTTTGATTCACTGAAATGCCAGCCAGCTAATCAGCTCAGTCTAACGCTACTCATCACTTCGTTAGCTAATCGGTCAGTTTTAAATGCTTCCTAGCTAACTAGCTAGGTTAACTACATATAAAACTGTCTAGCTAACTTCCAGAGAACGGTGTCATCTGTGTCCTGACATCCTAAAACTAATTTCAGTTCGCGCTCCTTTTAACTTTTGTTTTCTGAAGGCTTTTTTACACGTTCCTGTTTGCTAGAGCTAACTTTGTTTAACGTTTAAACTAAACTCCACCGACTTTTCAAAAATTCTGCATAATTCAATGGTTAAGATGTAAACAAAGTCATCCAGAGTGGTTTAATGTGAAATGCGCTGGTCTGGAGAAACTTACAGAGTTTGAATTGTTGACACTGGAGGTGATGGGAACCAGACACCGGAAGAGTTTAATGCCTCTGAAAGCTTCCTTACAGAAACTCACTACATTAAGTGGTTAGAGATAAGCTGCCTGATGTCTGAGACATTGGTTTATGATATTTTTTTGACAGGGTTTTGGCATAAAATATAGTTTAATCCATTCATGGCAGAGGGGTGCATGCAGGACATTTTAAGAAAACCTTTTTCAGATTTACTACTATTTCACCATCATCAATATTACCAGAGACATTATATTACATATAAAACTCACATGCAGGTTCACTGGTGGTTTTGGATAGTAAATAAAATGGCTATTTTTGTGTTGTAGACATTGTGACCCCTGGTTCCTATCACCACCACTGTAAATGAATCTGAGTCTGTAATTTTATCTACAATTAACCATTTCACGTGAAACCACTCTGGATGACTCTGTTTATGTCTCAAGGACTGAATTTTTCAGAAATTTTGAAAAAGTGGTAGAGTTCCCCTTCAAATTAGTTAACTAAATTAAGACGATCGAGAAGGGTCAATGTTTTGGATTTTAAACGTGTTCCTCAAAGACATATGAAAAGAGATCCCAGCAGCAGGTTGCTGTAGATGATGTACATGGAGACAAACATTTGAAAAAGCGTTTGTTTAGAGTTACAGTACTTAAGGATGAACTGCACTGATTTTCATAACTTCTGCATGTTTAGATGTAAACATTCATCATCAAGTCATTTGGAGTAGTCTGATGTGAAATGGTGCATCGTAGAAAAACGTATTGACTGTTTGCTTTACAGTGGTGGTAATAGGAGCCAGTGGTCGCATGCCTCCAATGCAAATATAACCATTTTATTTACTATGCAAAATTAACCAACATGTGTCTTCTGAATTAAAAGTATAGTGTTGATAATTATAAAATGGAAGTAAATCTGAAAAGTAAAAAAGATCTTTGAGAACTGTTTTTCCTCCATGTGCCCTCTCTGCCATGAATGGATGAAAAACATGTTTTAGGCCAAAAAGCTTAAAACTGGAAAATAATAAAACAACTCTCTGGCATCAGGCAGAGTATTTGAACTGTTTTGTGTAATAACTTTCTGTGCTGTAGCTTTTAGAGAGATTTTGATGTCTGCTTCTTACTGCCGCAGGTGAGAACAGTTCTGACTGAAAAGTCCTCCTTTAACGTACATTTATGTTAAAGGGGAATTCGACCCATTTTTCAAAATTATTGCATAATTCAGTCATTTAGATGCGTACACAATCCACAATGTTTTGAAATGGTTCATTATAGAGAAACTTCCCAGCTCCGATTTCTATACAGTGGTGGTGAAAGGAACCAGGGTAATATTGTTGTTTATTAAGTAGCGATGGTGTGAAGATGATGTGAAGGACAACTCCTTTGCCAGTAAGATATTTATTACAAAGTAGAACAGTATCATATCAAGCACTATAAAGTACCTGAGAGAGGATCCGTGCCAATTCTAAATGTCCCCTCTCGAACAGAATATTCCAGCTGCTTATATAGTGGACTTGTTGTTGAAACAGAAGACAGAACATATGGTCCTTTTTAAAATGATCTCATCTATTTGGAACTAAGAGAAGAAGGGAGAAAGTGAGAGGCCTACTTCCTATGGGGCTTTGGACCAGGGGGCCCCTTAATTTACATTCCTAACCCCTGCAAAAACAGAGCACACAGAGAGCTCCAGACCCCAACTCATGCTGGAAGAGTGTTTTTACCTTCTTCTATAATAATGTATATACTTCAATATCTACAATGCATATAAAGGCATTTTATTTAAAATCCAAAATAGAACATAAATAAAACTGTGGTAAATCTGAGAAAATAAATTGTCTTTGATTGTGTTCTTGTTCTGCTTGAATGTCTGCAGGTTCAAGTTTTAGTTCTGTGTCTTTTCCAAGTTTCTATGGTCTGGGAGTGAATTTCTGTACCCCACTCCCCCATATACTGATTTATGAAGACCACACAACCAATAAATCTGCCTCTTTGGTTCAGAATGTTTAGAAACATAATGTGTTTTCATAGAACAGGGTAACTGTGAGGAGCTCTCATACGTCTTGAGGAGCCACTGTAAGAGACAAAGCAGATAAGAAATGCAGAAACCTGATATAGCTCTAATAGGAGAGTATGATTAATGTTTAGAAAGGGGTCCAGGATTAGCTATAGCATAAAAGGACTCTTTTTGAAGTAGGGAGTAGGTTGGATGGGAGCACAGGGTGAGACATCTATGCTGCACTTCAGTCTCCAAACTCCAAGGAAGTGGATGAAACGGTCTGAAACAGTTAGCAAAGTCTAGACATTATAGAGAAACTCTTTTCGTTTGTTTTCATTGCAGTAGGGAGAAACGCTTCTAGACCATAGATGAATCATGTTTTTTTTACCTTGTTCTTCTATTTTAATCTGTTTTTGTGAATCATCAATTATCTAATGCATCATAAAACTATTTCTACCAGACGAGTTCTTTGAATAAGTCTGCCCAGGATAGTTCAGTGTTCTGGATTCAATCATTGTGGTTTCAGTTTTGTTACCAAAGATTTTTACAGGGTAAATAAGAGCAGCTTACAGTTGCTTTAAAAGGAAAAAGTCTCCCCCTGCTGTTTCTGTTGAGTAATTTCATTCTTACTTTTCCGTTTTCCCCAAGTAAATCATGCAGTCTGACGGAACTCATAGAGGTGAGTTGTTTCTCTAAAGTACACAGAAAACATACATAAATGAACATAACATTCAGGGACACCATACCATTCTTGGCGTGTAGTCTAATCTTTCAATATTTGTGTCTCTTCATTCATTCTGATCTGTCAGTCCTTTGTTATTTATTTCTGTGATTTCAGGAGGCTACAGTCACCTCTTTAATTCCATGCGATCATACTTATGCAGCCATGACAGAGTTCAGCCTATAGTAGGTAATGACAGGCCCTGTTCTCCCTGTGCATTGTCACATTACCAGTAGCTGCATTTATTTTGTACTATTTACATTAGTTTTATTTATGTTTTCTTCATGTTTCAGGCCTTGGCTCTATTATTGAGCTGTGTACAGATGCTGAACCTCCAGTTTACCTCTGTGAGGTCTGCATTCTCAAAATTAACAAGAGAGATATCAAAACCCACATCATGGGCAGCCTTCACAGATACAACTATATTGTAAGTTATAAGAGAGAGAGTGTTACAGCCAAGTGTAATGAGACTAGACTGGATTACTCTGAAATTCTAGCTCTGTAACTCTGAATTATTGGCTGTTTGCTCAGTCAGAGGACAATATTGTGTCTGGAGCCAGGATCAAAGTTTGCATGTTTGTTAATGTTACAGCAGTCACAAAAATCTTGTATGTCTTTGATCTTTCATGCAACAATCAGAAATAAGATTTGAGAAACATCCTCTTAAATGGTAGAAGCATGGGTTTATTAGCATACAGTTGTGTGCAAAAGTTTGGACGTCCCAGCTAAATTACCTGATTTGTTGATATATTTTTTTAAAAACATGAAACATGACTGGCACAGGGAGATGGAAAAATGAATTCCACCAAATCAGCAAAATTACATCAAGAAACTCATAAAGAAAAGAGGCTGGCTTCTACAACATGACATGACATCACAAGGATCCAAAACATACCACAAAGTCCACCATGAACTACTTCAGGAAACCCAAGCTGAAGCTTTTGGAGTGGCTTTTATAGTCCCCTGACTTGGACATCACTGAAAATCTGATCTGTGGGTAGATCTTAAGCAAGATGGCGGGTCCAATAATACCACAGAACTAGAAGTGTTCTGCAAGGAAGAGTTCAAGGTTTTGCTACATTACATATTTATTTATTTATTTAAATGTAATCAAAAATAAACTAACTGTGCATTAATATTTGCAGAATGTTATTTTTTTAAACACCTGCATAGAGTGTGTTTACTTCTTTTTAATTCAAAAGTCAACAAAATATGTAATTTGGCTGGAGTGTCCAAACTTTTTCATACAACTCTCTATTTCTTTTTGACTGATGTGCTTGGTGAAGGCCATTTGTTATGTCAGACTGTAAACCATTTGGTATTACAAAGCATTCTAATAGTATGTTCTAAGCTAAAAGAAGCTCCTGAAACAACCTTTTTACATTACTGTCTCATCCATAAAATCATTTGTGTGTTTCTGAGCAACAGAAATCCCGTCATGTATATGGTTTGAAGGCTGAAGAAGATCTGACTTCTTTGGCTTGGCGTCTGATGGAGCTGGCAAAAGTTGTAGAAAAGAAAGAGGGAACAGGAAATGTACAGGTAATACATGAATGCATATTTGGTAAGAAAGACTCAAGGTGCCTTGCTTTCATGATTCAGTATACCTGTGTCCTTCTGGTTTCTCTGTAAAGGTGCTGCATCTGGATGACGTCATCTACAAGGAGATGATATCAAAGCCTGCTCTGGATGGTCTGTTTTTGCTTTAGATTTGTGGTTTGCAGTATTAGCCCTACTGTCTTTATACACTCCACTTTTTTGTGTTTTCATTAGCAAAGCAAGAACAAGTAAAACTGGAAAACAGTGTTTCAGATTAATCTGACAGTGAAGCATACTACTGTTTAAATCTTGCTGCAATATTATATACTTTGTTTGTACCTAAATCACTGCTTCCCTTCTCATTGCTACTCTTTTCCTTTTCTCTCACAGCTGTTGCTCAGGTGAAGAAGATAAAGATACAAACACGCATCAGTGGCCTCCAATCTAGCATTTTCAACAAACACACCAAATGTATGGACTTTGACATTTAACAGTTATGAAATTACATAGTTAAATTTATTGACTAGTTATCAGATCATTATTTGCTAGATCTTATCTAATGTTTAATTTAAAAATACATGTGGTGTTTATAGATAGTAGTATGTTCTTGTGTTTCTGTGTTAAAGGTGAGAGGTCCACTGCAGCACTGAGTCCAGCTTGGACATCAACTAGCTGGAGTTCTAAACTGAGACAATCAAGAAATGTCAGCTCAGCAAATGCCCCATGTCTGACCAGGTCCTGTAGCCAGGGCAGAATGTTACCTGAAAAAGAAGCACAGAGTCCAGTGCGATGTTGGATGCCAGCAGAAATTCTCCATCCAGATGGAGACACTACAGTACAGAGTCCAGTTCGAACAATAATCCCGGCCAGAACTCCACCAGGATTCACAGTTTCTTCTGAATTCGCAAGTCCTACCAGACCTATTAGCCCAACCAGAGCCTTCAGCTCAGGCACTGCTCCAAGGCCACTGAAAAGATGGAGTCCTGTCAAAGCCTCAGAGCATAATGCCTTTATGCATGCAGACAAAGCAGATGATGTGAGTGGAGTCATTGACACAGACAGATCTTTTGGCACGGACTTATACCTTTCTAATACAGAACAAACTGCCAAACGCAAACATGAAGCCCAGTGTCAGAATAGTTCTCTGACCATGACCATAAACCAAAAAACAAACCAAGAAAACATCAGCTGTCAGAAGATAAGTCAGGGAGTAAATGGAACTTTGTCACCGGTTATCCCTCAGGATCAGGACCAATGCCAAGATGATCCCAAGGTTCAGGAACCATTCAAAACAGTTTGGTCGCTAAAGGATAGCAATGGTAGTAATTTTGTTATGTAAAACAGTCCTATGCAAATTCTGAACACCTCTGATCAAAGTACATGTTTTGTTGTTTTTCTAAGTGAAAATAATCTTTTTTTTTAGTGCAGAATTTCAGTTTATTTAGTTTAACATATTGGGGATCAAAATAAAATATTAAATGTGCCATAACTTTTGCATAGGCCCCCATTTATGTGTTTAATTTGTAAAAGTGTGTTCTCTGTAGATGTGTGAACTTATTTGCAAATCAACAGAACATGTCATTTGACCACGGGCACCCAAACTTTTGAATACGAGTATATGTAATCTTGCATACTATCTATGGTTTCTGTCTGATGTTTGTTTTTAAGTCTATTTTTTGCATATTTTTTAGGTGAACAAGAGGAATTGCAACAAACAAGGCCTTTGGGGTTTGAGCACTTGTCCAGAAACTCAGTAATGCTGAGTCAACATGAACTTAAAGATCATTCACAAACCTGTTCTGCCAAGTCACCAATGCTTTCTGAGGAGTCTCCAGAAAGTTACAGGGGAGCACAGCCTCTTATAGGCAAGTTTTAAATGTCTTGAAACATTTTAAAGCAATGTTTTTCTTATAAAATTTGAATTTCTCAATAAAAATGTAACATTTTATGATACTGTGTGTGGGTGTCATAGGACAGTAGCATGTAAGTACCTTAATATAATAATAAATAATACTGAATATAAAATGTTGCAGTACAGTTTGAAAGTTTATAGACTATCTCTTGTAATCAAATTTACATTTTTAATGGTATGTTTGTGTGATGTTTCTCTTTTGTTTTTGTTGATTGTTCCTTGAGAAAGTTTTTGTGACACAAGATAAGAACCTTTTTTCAGTCTATCCTACCAGACATGGTGACCAGGTATGGCACAGGTGTTGGAACTGAGTATTTCCATCATTGTCAAACTAGGTGAAAGGTGACCATTTGAGAACCTTCAAGGCTTTGGGCTTAACCGAAAGTGACTCTTACTGAAGTTAATAGAATGCATGAGGGACACTATCTTTGTTGACTACGCCTAACCAATGACACTGTGTTCAGTAATGTTTTTTGAAAGAATACAAGTCTGCATTATAATAGTTTTGATCTGTACTTATGAATCAGCAATTTTATGTGTTATTTACATATAATTTGAATAAAGGTATAACTGCTTTGACCAAGTCTGTGTTAGGTGGGGAAGACACCTGCAGGCGCTCTCACCCCCCACCACTCTCTCTAACAGCCTTAGTTGCTTGGTGATTCCAAACATCATTGTCTGTTAGTTTGGTGTTGTACTTGTCACATGATTCTCTAAACTGGCCTAGACAGGGCCACACCAAACTATCAACAGAATGTATAGAAATGACAGAAATAAGTGTTATGGAGCTCTGTCCCATGTGAAACAAAGATATAATATGGCAGGCAAGGCTGCTATAATAGTAAAATAAATGTCTGCTTATGTTGCTGGTGTGCCAGGTCTACAGGCTGTTATCAAGTGCCAGAGTGTAGATGGAGATCCACCACCCTGCTGTTACTTGTGCCGGCCATGTTCTTTGAAGGTCTTGAAGAGTGACATCATCCACCACCTGATCAGCCCTCAGCACCAGCTCAACTACATTGTAAGTGCTGATGTAATGTTTTCAGTCTCCATGAGGTAATCACAGTAGAATGAAAACAAATTAAAACTTGTCCTCATCTCTCTTCATTTCCCCCCACTCAGTCCAGTTTTGACATGTGATTGAAAAGAAAGAACAGAAGAGGGAATTTTAAGTATGCACTAGGACAAGAGGCAACAAGTATGCAATGGGGCATCGTGTGATACAGATTTTCCTCACATGACGCTAAATAGAATTCTTCTAAGAGACCTGACATCCAACATTAAGATGTAAAAATAAAATTAAAGTACTTTTTGTGGAGAATGGCAATAAGGTTGCTTGTGTCTACAGAATTTTCATCATCCTCACCTCTTGCTGGACATGGATGGAGACCTGAGCCTGCAGACAGTAGCTATGCAGCTAGAGCAAGAAGAAGGGAGAGGACAAATGAAGGTACTGTATAGTGTTAGCCTTCTTATTGAATCGATGTGTTAAGAGTTTAGCATGCCTTCTTAACATAGCCATCAAGTGAATAAATATTATCAGCAGAGGCTCTGTAAAAACTTTGCTTTAAAAAAATGGAATGGGACCAGTGCCATAGAGATCTGGTCACTAGACGTTTTCATTCAGTATCGCCCAGATTTGTATTGTGCTTTAAGCTTTCTGTAAAGTATGTTAATTACAAGATGTTCTGTAGGTGACAAGATTATCAGCGTGTCTCCTTAGTGAGATACTGGAGAAAGATTTCGACTGGTGTAAGTACAGCAGCCCTGACAAGTTTGAAATCCGAATGTGTCTCCTAATTTAGATGCCTAGTAAAACTGAAGATCCTCAGAATGAATGAATTATTCCCTCTGATTTATTTAAGCAAGGCTCAGTTAATTGATATCTCTCTCTCTCAAGGTATAAAGATGTTAAACTGTGGGTCTACTGCTGAAATTAAACCAGAGCAAAGTCCCTTAATGGCAGGGAGCAGCATGAGCTCAGGTGACAGAAATTTCAGAGCTAGACTTTTGTAACATTTGTCTTATTGTTTAACTGACAGATATTCTTGTCTCTAAAGGATGCAGCATTACCCTGAAACGGCCATATGAGTCCGCTGGAATCACTGTGGACCACAATCGTGATAGAACCTTGCATGACCACACTGGAAAAGTTCCCCTTAGACAATGGAGTTCAAGCAGGAGAGCAGTTAGTCTCAAGAAAGCAAGACGCAAAGAGCCAGTGTTTAAAGTAAGCCTGTCACTAAGTGCAGGGCCTGTTATCGTGGACAGAATGTCCCCTGTATCAACAACAGTGGCTCCTGAAATTGAATGCCAGAACCCTGAGACCGAGTACACAGAGAATGATGCATTTTCAGAAGACATCACCTCAGGAAACCATATGCTCACTCTAGAACACAAAAACCTAGAGCAGAACCCTAAAACATTTCAGAACGTGCAACTATACCCCACCGAGTGCTTGTACACCGAGGAAAACTCACAATCACTGAGATATACTAATGCAGAAACAGATACAAGTACATATGGGTATATGAACACACGTCAGTTTCCAGACAGTGTAGAGTACACAGGAACAGTCTTTACTGGCAGTTTAAACAGCAGTCAAGGGCCTGAGTCCTCTCATAGACATTTGCACCATAATTCAGTTGTGGAGGACGTCTCTGGTTCGAGCACATCTAATAACTGCCCAGCAGATGGACTGTCATCAACTTGCAATGGCAATGTTCGGATCATGGAGAGACAAGAAGTCAGAAGCAATGCATGTGATTGGCTAATAGAGAAAGATCCAGTCACACAACATGCTAATAACTGGCCTAAAGAAAATCCCATGTTTGTTCAGTCAGATGCGACACAAATGATGTTGGCCAAGCAAGTTCCCCAGCAGATGTTTGGAGAGAGGAATTGTGACGTGATGAATGTACCCATGTACATGCATCCAGCAATCATTGGGGCTTATGTCCCAGCAATTAATACATACACATCATACCCTGTCCAGTATGTGAACCAGAGGTGGATGTGGGGAAGCACATTGTTAACAGGTCTGTCGAACCAGCATAACGTTTAGTTTTTTGTATCTTAAAATTCCCTTAAAAGCTGCAAAAGAAATGCTCTAACAGCAACATACTTGTATGTAGCTGACTAGTCTTGTTCATTAGAGCTTTAAATATGTGTTATACAAAATCTCTCTGAAAGTGTGATGCAAGTATTTACTTAACACTTAATATGTCCCTATGCCTTAATGATGTCAGTGTTCTTATTTCTCATTAAGATAGACACTAACTTTTTATCACAAAAGAACACAATTGTTCACGTCTTATTTCTTGCAGATGTTCTCATGTAAACCATGTGATATGACAGTGTTTGAAACTACAGCTCAATGCGCTCTCAACCTTGTATCATTGATTAATTTGATAAAAATCTTCTGGTATTCTTTTTGCAGACAGTTATTGTATGAAACAACTTTTCAAGAGTAATTTGTCATTTTATTTACTGATAGCAGAAAAGCATATTGTCAGTTAATCAGATTCTAACTCAATGCAGTATCATCAATCATTGCTATGATGGTCATTGAGTGGGCTACTGACATGCCAGCTTTCTTTGTTTGTTTTTTTTTTGTCTTTTTTCTTTGTCTGGCCCCCTACAGCCCTGAATTTTGTAAGGAGGTTCTGCATGCTGCTATCCATTTAAAAAAGAATGTGGTAAAGTTCAGTAATATTGTACTTTCAAGTGGCTATTGTGTGTGACACATCTAATAATTATGTTCCTGAAAAGTGATAGCTACTGCTGAGATGTACATTGTATATATGATGTGTTGTTTTTTTTTTGTTGTTGTTTTTTTGGGATGATGCTTCATTTCACCTCCAGCTCCTGATTGGTAGTTTTCCCCCAGGGTTTAAAATGTTATGACGTTTGCTATTTAAAAAATCCAAAACCAATTACACGTGTTGCCTCTTTCTTTGGTAGACCAAAGCGGACCTAAGCCGAGGTTAAAGGCAAATTAGGTAAATTCCCATCCAGTCAAATCCATCAGATGCTCACAAAATACACTCAGTTATTCACTAAGTAACCTAGAGGTAACAGGAACATTAGCTCAATGAGAAAGGCGATTGAATCAGTTATGAAAATGAACATTATAGTAACACTGTATTTTTACACTTCAGTTGGAGTGACTGGTGCCCATGTTCTACAGAACAGGGAAAATAAGCCAAATGTTCAAAATGAAAAATCTACCATTCTGCAGAAGCAGTTGCAGAGAAAGTCCTTTTCAGTGACCCAACACTTGCCAATATTAATCATCAGTGACATTCTTATCTACATGAGTTATCCAGGAGTTACAGCCTACATATAGTTGAATATAGCACAGATCTAACAAAGAGATGCTAAAGCCCAATTTATACAATGACTGCCAAAGTGAAATGTGCATTCACATATGAAAACATTTCTTTTTAAAGCCTAAGGAGTTTAAATGGTGTAGTTGTCTAAGAGGGTTGCTGCTCTCTTGGTGGAAGCGTGAATTAGTTTCTCTTTAGATCAGGGTGATGTTAGCCAGTCATTGGTGCCTTTTTTGGTGATGTCTAAAATGGGGCAGTTATATAGAATATGGTGCCATACAACAAAGGAAACAGCAGCAGATGGGAACTGCTGATGACTACATTAGGAACAAAAAAACAATCCTGGACAATGATTTATCATGAATTAGTGTCAGCCTTGGCAAACACCATGAAACAGTAATTATGCTGTGTCGCATCAAGACTTGACTCAGTAAAGTCACTTGTTTACATAATCTGTTCCAGCATTTTTTAGAACTTTTATACTTTATAATGATTTTATATTACAACAACTAACACTTTTTCCAGGTTCCTTTACTGTTTAATCAAAATGGTTCTGAAAGGACAAGAACACCAGCTTGTCAACAGAGGTGGGCAGTATCTGTACTTTACTAATTTTTTTGTATCACTTAAAAGAGAATTCCATGGTTCCTTGATGTGAAACGTTTCATTCTAGAGAAACTTAATGAGTCAAAATTGTTCACAGTGGTGATGACAGACACCAGACATTTGAATCGTCTAATGTCTCTAAAAGCTCCCTCACAGAATGTTGTTACATGAAGTAGTTAGAAATATGCCTGAGACATTGTTTTACGATGGTTTTGAAAGGTTTTGGCCAAGAAAATATTTTCTAAAAGCAATCTATGGCATAGAGAGACATGTATGGCACTGTAAGACAAAATGGTACACAAATCTGAAAGACTTCTTCAGATTTATCACTATTTTACCAATATCAACATTGCATATAAAACTCAGAGGAAACATGTAGGTTCACTGGTCATTTTTGTATAGCAAGTTAAATAGCTTTATTTGCACTGCAGACATCAGGATCCTTAGTTCACTTCACCACCACTGTAAACAAATCAGTCTGTTTGTTTCTCTACAGTGAACTCTTTCACATCAATTCCTTCAGAATAACTTTACATCTCAACAATCGAATTATGAAGAAATTGTGAAAAACAAGCAGAATTACCGTTTTAGACTTTCCAACTTTTACTCGCTACATTTCAAAAGAAAATCTCTTCTCCCTTCTCGTTTTTTTCCTCATAAGGTGATTTTTGCATATACCTTTGACACCATCCAGCAGTTCATTAAGCACCAAATTCCAAATAAATAATTCATTGATACATTTATTTTCAAACTGCTTTATTTGTATACCTACATGCAAGCACTGTCATATCAAAAGCCAGAAGAAGCAACAAAATAAAGTAGCCAGACAAGTGATGAAAGAGTTGAAGTGCATAGCCATATTATGTTTGTATTTTCACCTAGAACATGTAATAACCACTGAAACTGAGTGTGTTTTTTGTTTAAAGGTATTCTGAGTCGTTATTTCTTAGGGAACTGAAGGCTTTGGCCATGAGGCTGATAAGATCAGGGTGAGGCCTCCACCTCATCCTAGCTCTGGAGCATTCTATCATATACTGTCTGTAAATGTTGTTGATGCCAACACCTGCCTAGGGTGTGGGCCTTATGCCCCCCCAACCCCCCGGGGCCAGGAGTGGGAGATATATAAACCCTGTGGCTTTGTGAATAAAGCTGAGTCTTTTACATTGCATTTCTCTTATACATGTTTCACTGACTCCGAAAGCTTCGTTCTGCAGAAGTCCCCAGACCTGAGGCAGCAAAAAACTAGGAGAAGAGTTTGGTGAGTCTTCTTCCTAAAAAGTGATTAAGGAACTTGTGCATGTGCTGACAATGGCCAATTATATGCCAGCCAATGTGGAAGGAGCAACTGACTCAAAACACATTCTACACTTATGGCCTTAAAGCGGAACTCTACAGATTTTTCATAATTTCTGCATAATTAACTGGCTGACATATCAACCAAGTCATTCAGAGTGGTTTGGTGTTCTAGAGAAAATGACTACCAAGTCAGAACTGTTGACAGTGGTGGTCATAGTAACCAGACATCTGAGGGAGGAGTTTAATGTTTCTAAAAGCTCCCTCAAAGAAAGTTATTACATGAAATGGTTATTAATACACAGCCTGATGTCGGAGACATTGTTGTATGACAGTTCAGCGATAAAGTATTTGACTAAAACATATTTAAATCAAATAACTTCAGTCCATTCATGGCAGAGGGATACAAGCAGGACATTGTGAGGCAAAATAGTTCCCAAAGAAAAGTTATTTTTTTCAGATTGACTATTATTTTACCATCATCAGCATTAAATATAAAACCCATGACACATGTAGGTTCAATGATGGTTTTGGAAAGTAAATATAATGGCTATATTTGCATTGTAGACATTGGGTTCCAATCACTACCACTATAAAGTAATCTGAGTCAGTAAGTGTCTCTACAACCAAACATTTCACATCAAACCAATCTGAATGACTTTACATCTCAACCACTGAATTATGCAGATTATCGAAAATCAGTGGAATTCTCCTTTAGATCATTTTCATTTGTGATTCTTTCTAGATCAGAAATGTTGTTTTTTTTATTAAAAAATGGGGTGGGGCTCTTGAAGTACTAAAGTTCCTAATTTTGAACTCTAAAGAATTTGAAACAGTGCTTCAGCTTTTACCAGGTAGTTTTGTAGTTGATTAAAAATGTTCTTCAGCCTCCTCTGCTTGTCTGCGACGCCATCCTCTTCTTTAAAATAAAGAGCGGTCCTTATACTTTGTAAACTGTCCGCCATATTTAGTACACAGTTGGTTTTTAACTATTTAATCTTCACATTGCTTGGAAAATGTCAACAAAAAAAAGCTTTTCCATCTCGGTAGAGCTTATTCAATGTGTAATCGCCAGGTGGCGTTGTACTGTTCTCTGATCCCTTCACAATTTCCTGGAGCCGTCTACCTTTTTTAGCCCTAGGTACTCTGCTTCAGAGTATTCACTGAAATAAAACATGTACCAAAGAGCCCTACAGGTCACTTATTTTATTGTTAAGTGGTTAGACGGACGCTGTGTACATTCCGGATTGTTTGTGGTAACGTTACAGATTTTTCGCCAGACGATGGTGCTATGAGACCTCAAAATTACAGTGAGGTTTTCGGTTCCCGCTTTTTATCAGAGAAAGAGTTTCTCTGTAGTGTTGCTGTAAGGTACTGGAGCTGTAATGTAAATAAGAGGGTACACTATCAACAGAGAGAGAGGTAACAAAGCCCTGTAATGTGAACTCTGACTGGGCTGTGCCAGCGGGGAGAAGAAGAAGCCTCGGGGCAACGGCGCTTTACAATACAAACAAAGAGGCTGCAAATGTCAGCGGGTTTAACCGTCTCTCCTGGTGCGGGAAGCAAATTACAGCCTACCACACAGTGCCTGCATAAGAGAGAAGTTTCCTAGACACATATGTAGGGCTTTCCATGCTGCATGAATTTATTTTTAAACAGAGCCTTTCTACTAACGTTCCTCAAAGCGCCGTTTTAGGACATGTTGTGGCGCGTGAGCCGACGCAGCTAACGTCGACGACGATTCCATCCTGACCAAAGCTTAATCGTTTATGTGTTACTTACTTGCGCACTGCTTAGAAATATAGCTAGTTAACATTTACAAGAAACAATTAATATTTGCCTTTAAAACGGAAATGAGCACACAACCGGGTATGTTTGGGCAAAAATGGAAACAATAATAAACTCGCAGAGTCGTTAGCTAGCTGGCTAACCAACATACGTCAAGGCTAGCTAGCTAACGGCACCTAACATTATTACCGACAGGGTAGTGGCTCTGGTTGACTTCGTGATAACTTACTTAGCTAGCTGAGAAATATAAAGGTGATATAATGTGTGATATTTATTATATAAACCCCGTGTAAAAATTACCAAATGTAGCGCAATGGCCAGTTAATGTGGCGTTATTAGTTTCTCTGTTTTCTGAGAGGTCGGTTACTAGCTAGCTAACCAAAAAATTAAGTAAAACAAATAAAGACAATATACACATACAGAAGGTAAGTAGGTTTCATATCGAGGGCCAGTATCCTTGCTAGAACAAAACAGCATGGACAAGCATATTGTGTTTTGGATGCTGGTATGGAAGTTGATAAGCTGATCACCACCAAAACTAACATATTTTGTGTTTTGATGCTGGTATGCTTGTCAAGCAGCATGACTATGCTGAGGTGACCAGCTAAACAAGCACCAGACAAGCATAAACCATGAAATGCATGCCGGTCTGTTTTGGGTGTTTTTTTTTGTTTGTTTGTTTGTTTCTCAGCAGAGATCCTACATTTTTCTTTTTACCCCTGAGTTCCCCTTATAACGTTTGTGTGGGTTTGTGTACCAAAAACAGTGATAATTTTTGTTAAATGAA